TGAGAAGGACAGGACTACGTAATAAGCCTGGCAGGAAGCCTCAATGGAGATGGACAGAGCAGACAGGCAAGCTAGTGCGTTCGTCCAAAGGCGGTATAGACTGGTGGAGATATCAGAGCTGCGTTCTGATCCCAAAGCTGATTCCTTTCGCCAAAGAGTGCCTCCAAGATAGGCCTCAGACCGTAGTTATGGAGGATAAGGCACCTGGGCACGCCCACCAGTATCAGAACGTTGTCTATAGTCTATCCAACGTCGAGAGACTACTTTGGCCTGGCAACTCTCCAGACTGTAACTGTATTGAGCCATGCTGGTTCTACATGAAGAGAGAGACTACAAAGAAAGGAGCTCCACAGTCAAGAACGGAGGCAACTAGAATCTGGCTAAATTGCTGGAGAGATCTCCCACAAGCTAAGATCCAAGCTTGGATTGAGCGTATTCTTATACATATTCCAAAGATAATTGAGCTACAAGGTGGTAATGAGTATATAGAGGGGAGAGATAGGCGTTGTGTAGGAGAGCGGCCAGATTTCGGCTAAATTATTCTTGGCAGGACAAAACTTTTGTGAGGCACCTCCGTACTTACTTGGTTGTCGCCTCCCGCCTCCGCCGTCAGCGTCACATGGGTCCGCTACATACTGTACATTTCAGCCTTGCACGCCGTCGCTGAACTGGTTACTTAGTCATGCTCAAAAAGGTACTCATGCCCAGCAAGCGACCCAAGCCGCTTTCCCTTTGACAATCCGACATTGTCGTCGCGGGTGCCGCGTTTCCCGGGTCTAATACTACGTACGTGGCAACCCAAGGTCGCATTGATGCAGTCATTGATTCATTCGTCCATTTCCAACATGCAACTTCGACGCTCTATCCTGCAATTTCTCCTACATGCACCCACGGACACTTTGTAACGCGCCACCGGCGGCGCAGCACACATGTGACTTGTGTAGTAGGTAGGTAGTACATACAGCTCGCCACAAGCATGCTCCTTGGCTCTTCACATTCCACATTGCACTACACACCCAATCTCTACTTGAGTAACAAAATACTTGCCCATACATGTACACCGAGTACAGTAGAGGTACCTCGGCCCAAAGAACAGGATTAACCTTCATACTGTTCCCAGCCAGCTCTGTCACCGGCTTGGATGCCGCTCGAAAGGTTCTCCACCAAGCTATTCTTAGCCTAGATGACAAGGCACATGATGGATTGTCCCGGGATATATGGTTTTGAACTCGCCGAATATCCTGCCACACTCGTGTTCCCCCTCTCTGCCTGTCCTATCCAAACCAAGCAAGAAAAGGCAGGCATGCCACTTTTTTTTGGTGTCGTCTTACCCGAGAATACCACCGCCGACGTGGTTAGCCGGCCGGTCTAGGGACACTATGGAGGCTCTGCGGTCTGTGCTTTGTCTTCGTTGCCCCATGTGGTCTGTCTGTATTTTTCCGGGCTCAAGTCAGCTCATATATGCTCACGGACCCGCCGTCGACGGCGTGCTTATCTATAGGTGGGATTGTGGAAATACCAAGTATGAGTGGTCTTTTCTCTCTTGCTTATCTACATGCACATGGTCCGGTGTAGTATGCGTGCAAAGAATGGCCATCCCATACACGTATGCAGTCCCTAGATCATGTGCCTGTACTTGTGCTTTTATGCAAGTCATGAATACACATATACATACTTACGTACTACACTATCGCTTAGTCAATCAACTGCAGATCAAGCAAATCGTCATTTGAGAAACCCCGTCAAGTCCGCGGCGGCATCAGATAAATTACCTCTTCGGCTGAGCTAGTACGTTTCTACAGATGCGGTGCTAAAATTAACCTGAACAAACACCTTCCTGTCTACGCAGTAGCTGCGATACTACAGTAAATACGGCAACCAACAAGCATGCATAACCAACAATCATCAACGCGATCAGCGCCCGACTATCCTCCTCGTATTTCTTGAATGAGACACAATGTCTATACCGTCTGCATCATACAAGACCGCCGGGGGGTATCCACGAGGAGAGCAAAGACTTCGTGTGCATATGGATCAGCTTCACGACAAGAGCTCGGGTAAACACGATACCAACTAAACAAATTTGTCTTCACGGCGAAACAGAATATCCACGGCACACCACCCCAAACAACAACAAACCATGCATCATCATCTCGTATTTCATCCAAGATTAATTTCTCCTGTACATATTTGGGTGCCGTCGGCTAGCTTTTCAGCATAGGCCCGTGCACTATAGCTCTCGCAGCTAGCCGGCCAATCTTCCAGGCCGACAACAGAGCTTCCCTCCCTAAATCGTGATATCATATCGAAGTCGTAACAAATCGAACCATCATCGCTGCTTCTCCAAGAAGCCACTACACGACGCGCTTAGTGGGCGACACGTCCACCCTGAGTCTCGTTCGTGATGCCGATGCGCTCAGCGTTCTGTTCACACAGCCATGTTAGCAACCAGATCAGATGCCCAAGACACAAGAAAGGAGAGTACGAACCTCAGTGGACTGGACAGAGCCATCGGTAAGGATCTTCTTCATAACATCGTCTTCGTTGCTGGTGCCGAACTCATTCTCAAGTTGGCCTTTGCTGGCCGTGTTGAGGATGCCCTGCTTGCCGTGCCTAGTTGTACTGTCAGCAAATACCCACCATATGGCCTGCTCCACTTCTTGGTCTTTTGAATGCGGGGAAGCGCCATGCCAATGCCAGCTTCACACAGAGCGGGGTACAACGACCAAGCATCAGAGGGTCAACATACTCAGGAACCATAATCTTCCAGCCAGCAACAACATCCGTCATGGGGATGCTGCTGTCTCCCTTCCACTTCTTAAGCATCTCCTCGCTCTCAACGAAGACGGTAAACTGCTCGCCTGAGCTGCCCTTGTAGAAGACCTGCGTCTGGGGAGCGTTTCCACGAGCCATTGTTGCTGGAGTGTGTCTTGTGTCTGGTTTGTTGGTGGGATGGAGATTCGAGTAGCGTGAACTGTGATTCAAAGGTCGCGGTTGTGCGTGTAAAAGCCCGAGTTTGTTTATGAGTTTGGTGGATGAGTGGAGGGGAAGCTTTGGAGGGGCTATTTAGCAAGCTCGTGAGCTTTGACCGTAGCCACTACGTCATCGCCAAGCCTGGACCTACATTCTCGAAGCTGGTAAGACGAGGCAGGCCAAGCATGTGAGACACGCAAGCTCTCTCACTCTCACCCTTGCCTGGAATTGCGGCTCCTTGGTGAAACCATGCGGCTGAAGGGCGTGGCTCTGCCTTGTGTAATCACATCGTTTCCTGGTCAGCTCTCGCCATGCGGCCACGAACAAAACAACACATGCATTTGGCTTCGACAGCTATCTGCTCGCAAGCGCACCCCAAAAGAAGACATGCCACGTCTCCCGTCCCGACACGATGACGTCTTAGTCATAATGTGATTGTTACTATCCAAATATACGTGTCTTTTTGCAATGGGGCCCTCCATCGTACGATCGCGTGCACCCTCAACCCCACAGCCAATGACGTCATACCGTGCCCACCGATCCCAGGCGGGCTGCGGGTGTGCCTTGCATTAATCCCATTGATCGTCACCATCTTATCCATCGTCCGCTTCGTGTCAGTCGTGGTATCCATGTCTCGTGCTTGCTGTTGCCGCAAGAATAGCCTCCGTCATTACGTCGTGATAGCTGCTGCTGCGTCGGACCAGGCTGCTTCGCCGTGCCCTCTTGACCATTACCTCCAAGTGCTGTGATCCAATGCCATAGTCCACATCACTACACACATCACCTCTTAGCGAAAAAAATTAAATATCCTGCTCTTGCTCTTGAAAAACTTCCGCGTAGGCGTGGTGCGTGACAACCCCGGCTTCGAGCTGCGGTCCTTGAATGCCTCCATCTTCAGCTTCTTGTTCTCCATGCTCCTCTCGCCGTCTGTACAGGGAGGTGCTGCACGCAATGCCGCCTCGGCTGAACTGTGAGAGGTATTCCTCCCTGCCACACGTACAGCAGCCTCTGATCGCGGGAGGTTGATCATGTGAGTAGAAAGGCGCCGGACCTTCTTTGGCTTGGCCTGTGAGCATCTTTCGGTAGGCCCTCCTGTACTGGTAGTACGGTTGACGAGGCGCCGATGTCTGGTTGACGGTCGTGTGTCCTCTACTTCAAAGTCGGTAGGTAAGAATGCGGCTGGCGCGTTGTGAAAGTCTACCACCGCTGGTGCGGGTCGTCGATCGGCTGCTGACGGAGGCCGTACAGTTCCGTGGGAGGCCTTGCGAGCACGGCTTCCAGACGAGTCATCGGATCTTGAGTTGCTCGCATTGGAAAGACTAGGCGAGCGGCGCGAAAAGTTGCTGGCGATGCTTGCCATGCTCAGTTTACGCATCACCGAGTTGGCCGAGGCCCTGATTTGATTCTCCATTCTCCGAGTCGACATGCCCGGAAAAGGTAAGAGATCCTTTGTCCATACATCTTCTAGAGTATTTTCCAGACGAATGCGCTCGGCTCGTCGTGGCACTAGCGTGGCGACGTGATTGGACGAAAGATGCGATTGCGATCTTGCGACTATACTTGGGGAAAATGTTGGAGGCGTTTCGGGTATCTTTTGAGCCTGTGTATTCTTGATGATTACCTGGCTCATGTTCGTCTTCGCGCCTAGCGTCGCCGCTCGGTGCACTGACATGCGTCGCACTAAGCTGTTTGCATGACCAAAAACCGGGCCAAGGGATTTGAGTTCGAGAGATACTGATGTGAACATATCTTGCATATTGGATTGACCTTCGACGAAGTCGTGTGTCTCATAAACAATACGTTCGCGCAGTTGAGTCTTCCATACTGCTTCCTCTGCAGAAGAGCACGCACTGAAAATCAGCTCGTGCAGGCGATGACCATGCTCAAATACAAATTTCCACGTATGGGGTGCAGTGTGACATTGCATGCCGCGACCGTTATCCGACTCTTCGATACTCGCATTGGCCAATCCGATCAAGGCAACAACGGTGTAAGGGGTATGGAATCTGCTTGCTGTTGCAAGTACCAGGCACGATTTGTATAGTACACACACCATGTAGGATCCCTTGATTCGATCAGGCGTCTGATAGGCCACGTGGAGAACACCACAGAGCAGAACGTGCCCGAGTAGTCGGAAGATGAGAGCTCGAGATAGCTTTGGCTCCTCAAACACCAGCCGGTCTTGCAACTGCCAAGTGATTTCAATCAACCTCCGGGTTTGAGGGTCGTCCTTGGCTTTGTTGACCTCGCGAATCGTTTCTTGCAAGCGGAACAGCGCCTTCTCAAGCTCAGCGTGCGCCTCCGGGTCATCGTAAACGGGCGTGTGGCGGCACAGGTCGTCGAAGAGTAGTGGATATTTACAGACCCTCTGGATGGGCTTGATAAGAAGATCTGGGAAGCTGAGCGCCTTTTTGCTGCCGGCTTCGCGGTTGTTCTGCGAAGCAACCACTTTTTGCAATGCTTCGACGCCCCTTTCGTACTCTTGCCAGCCATGCAGACCCTTGCACATAGAAGTCAGGTCCTGAGACATTGTCGTCCAATGTGCGCCATACTCTTCGTATGTGAAGAAGCGCCTCATCTATCTCCTGTTAGTAAAGCCAGGTAAGCTGCATATAAAACACGCACATGTTTGTTGAAAATCTTGGCAATGTTGCCCGCCGTCGTTGTGTCCGTTACCAGTCCGCGTGGTCTAGGGTCAGGTGACCGTCCTATCTCTAAAGAATGTCTCAGCCTCCGAGGAGCCCTGTTTTCAGTGAAGCGTCCGGGCACAATGTCTGCGCTATGGAAGCGAATGTGTTTGGCTTTTGTTGCAGGGTAAGCCTCCTGGTGCGCGCTCTTTGTAAAGTCGGCGTGAGGAACGACGTGATGGAGTTCTGCGAGCAGATCCTCGTGCAATTGCAGGATTTGAGAGATGTTTTGCTGAATGGATGATTTGGTCTGTCCTGACACAGAAGGGATGGTCGCGAGAACCATAAAGTAGTCCTAGACATGTCAGTGGTTACCTGAGGCCGTACTGGCTGGCACATGACATACATTGATCAGGACTTTGAGGTCTGCAATGTAGCTCTCCTCTGAAGCAATCAATTCTTCCACGACTTTACGGCGTTGTAGCGATCGGAGCCAGGCGCTTTCATCAAGCACAGGGCCCAGTGCACCACGGTAACTTTCAAGTGATCGGCGGGCTTCAGAGACGTTGCTGCTTCTGTTTCCCAAGCGAGTCTTGCCCTGCAAGCCACCATCGGAGCGTGGCGCAATACTGGTACTTCCAACCGTTATGGTCGTAGACTTGATCGCGGTCACGTATTCCATGGAAGAGGTCAGAGAGCCGTTGGTCCTCCGCGCAGACATGGAAAGGCGCTCAAGCGGCTGTGAAAGGATCGACATGCCGTCGGTCGCAATGCCAGACAAGTGAGCCGAGTCAACAAGATGCTCTCGCCACCGCTGAGCATGCCGACGCCTTAGGGTGCTCATCCACCGCCGGAAAGGCTGCGAAGGCGTCTGCACGGTAGCCGGGGCTGCTTGGCATTCGTCGTGCGTTTCGCTTGTGGCGTTGTTGAGATGTTGGTCTGCGAGTGATGGCACGTGAATGGCCTCATAAACGTTGAACAAATGCGTCTCGTCGAAATCGTTCTCATCGCCTTGGATGCCTTCTCCGTCCAGGCTCTCGTGTTCGGAAGGGAGCGCTGGCACATGCTGCCACTCGTAGGAACCCGCCCTGGCAAGGTAAGGTGGTGGGCGATTGAGGCCGCCGTTTCGTGTTGGCGGCTCGCCGGCCACGTCTGCAGTAGTAAAGGGGAAGTCTGTCTTCTCAGAAGCAAGATTAAGCAGCGACTGCGAGGTGAGGGGCGGAGTGTTCTCGTTGACGCGGGCGCCATCACCCACTCTGCCATGGCCAAGAGAGTAGAATGAGCGGGCGGAGCTGTTGCAAGCCGTGACATGAATGGGCGGTGCATGCCGTGTGTCGTTTTGGGGTGAGCAGGCACTGAGGTAGGGGTTGTCGCTAAAGGAACGCTTGAGGGGGCTCTGGGGACGGAGCGCCAGCACGTAGGCCATGTCAAGGGCGGGTCAAGTGGTTTGGACTAGACTATGAGCGGCGGCGCATGGAGGGTCGAAGCGGCATGAGATAAATACTACTGCATCCAACGACGATGACTTGGCGGGGGGACAAGAGCGGTGCAGAGTTGGCCAGGGAGCCTGAGGAAGCATGCTGGAGACGGCGACGGGCTAGGCAATGCGAGCTGGCCGTGTGGACCAAGGGGAAGTGCACATGGGGCAGGGCGAGAGCAGGCGACGATGCGGCGAGCAGGTATTAGTGGCAAGCTCAAGGACGCAGGCGAGGGAAGGGAAGATGGGCTGGAGGCGATCCGAGGTCCCGTGTGCCGGGGGAGCCATGGGCAGACATGGCGCAGGGAGCGTCGTGGACCATTTTTTGAGGAGCAGCTAGCGTGCTGGCCTCGTTGCTTTTCGCCTGCGTGGTAGTTGCGAGGCACGATGACGGTAGGAGCCCGAGTGGCCCGTACTAGCCGTCTGTGTGCGCTGTCGGACGGCCGTGGATGGCGTGCGGCGGTGGCAGCAAGGCTGTTTGGCAATGGGGACGGCGGGCCATGGGCGGGCGGGCGAGCGAGGGCGAGGATGAATGCGGTGGCGGTGGTGGTAGTTGTGGTGGTTGTGGTTGTGGTTGTGGTAGTAATAGTGGAGTGAAGTGACTGGGGCCACAGTGATGGATGGCTTCTGCCCCGCACCAGGGCCCTTGGAGGCGCGTCTCGCAGCTCCAGCTCGCCCCTCCACCCCGCCTCCAGAGGTGCAATTCCGGTGCATACAGCAGAACTAGTCGGCCTGGCGAGCTGCACGACAGTACATACACCTAGGTCGGAGATTGACATACACAGACACGCACACACACACACACACACTCGCACCCGCCACGCCCAGCATGGACGACATGCATGCGCCGACTGTGACGTCGGGCCCGACGTCGTCCGGGCACTCCAACGGCGTCCCCAAGGAGCAATTGACGCTGCAGGAGCTCATGGCGGAGAAAGACCGCGTCGAGGCAGAGCTCAAGGCGCTGGGCCAGGTGTTGGATTCGGTACGCACGGCAAGCACGTCGCCCGGCCACGGTCATCATCTGATAGTTGGTTGCAGCACGGCGTTCGCATGACGACTGGCCTGACCACGCTCGACGGCTTCCCGCGCAGCGACATCGACGTCGCCCAAGGTAGGGCGCCCGCGCGGCAGACGAGATGCGGATTTGTCGCTGACGAGGCGCAGTGCGCACTACGCGGGCGCGCATCATCCGGCTGAAGAATGACTACAACGACCTCATGTCGCGCATCGAAAAGGGCCTCCACGAACACCACGCGCGGCTCGCAGCAGCACAGGCAAACGATGCGGCGACGGCCCGGCAGCCGCTCGAGGCAGCGGTGGCGCCGGCGGGCGGGCTGGAGGCGCCGTTTGCAAAGGTCAACAGCGTGGTGGCGGGCAGCCCGGCCGACGCAGCGGGCCTGCGCGTGGGCGATACGATAACGCGGTTTGGCTGGGTCGACTGGACAAACCACGAGAGGCTGGCGCGCGTGGCCGAAGCCGTGTCGCAGAGCGAAGGCGTAGGCGGCATCGTGAGGGAGCTGGTGGCGTGCACAGGGCTGACAAGCTACAGGTGCCTATTGCCGTGAAGGCGCTGCGTGCCAGTGCCTCGGGCGGCCCCGCGGAGAGCATTCAGATGCAGCTCACGCCGCGACGCAACTGGGGCGGGCGAGGCCTGCTGGGCTGCCACCTGCTGCCCATGTGAGGCCGGGCGACGAGGCGGCTGGGAATGACGTCAGTTGGCATTGGGCTGTCCATGCGCGGCGGCATCGACGGCGGACAAAGGCGTGCGTGGCCAGGCATGGCATGGCAGGGCATGGCACGGTATCACGGCGTGCTGGCGGGCAGCGGGTGTGGGCAGGTAATCATGCTGCCACTACCAGGCACACTGGCAGATAGGCCTGGCGGCCGTCATGGGTCGATGTTAATAATGGCGCTTGCTGCGTGGCGCTCTGGGTTTGGGTCAACAAGCACAATGGCAGCAGCAGCAGCAGCAGCAGCAGAGCAGGATGCCCGGTGGCGGCCTTGTCTGCGCACCTGGGGCCAGCCCAGACAAACCACGGTGATTTTTTTCCCTTCTCTCGTGTCTGTTTCCTTCGCGGCCGGGCGGCCAGCGGCAGTTCGCGGGGCGGTTGGCGGCTCCAGAGACAAAGGCTGCGGCTGCCTATCCGCCTCTGCCTCTGCCTGTGCCCGGCTGTCTGCCTGCGCGAGGTCAAAATTGCCGCCAAGAGATCCACACCGCCCGGGGCCAACACCTGAGCTTGCACAACAAAACCTCTTCTTGCCCCTCTGGAAGTCACTTCACACGCCTGCACCATTCCCCACTCTTTCGCCCAACGTAAGCCTGCACCACGCCCGACTTTTGCTCAACCCCCCCGTGCGACCTCAACTAACTCCCTCTGCTCTCGCAGTCTGCGCATTTCCTCCCCACGCATCACATCCCATCCCCACCACCGCAGCCCCTACGCCATGGCCGACTCCGCCCAGCCCAGCTGCCCAACCTTCAAGCTCGTGCTCGTCGGTGACGGTGGTACAGGAAAGGTACGCTGTCTGTTTTTCCCACATCGCATGCGCTAGCACGCTGCCCGTCGCGGCCATTGCGCACCCGGCAGGGCCTGCATACGACGCTGCCCGAGCACTTTTGCTAACAAAGCCGTCCCAGACGACCTTCGTCAAGCGCCACTTGACCGGAGAATTCGAGAAGAAGTACATTGCGACGCTCGGTGTCGAAGTCCACCCGCTCGCCTTCACCACCGTACGTAGCCGGATGCCGTACCCGCCCCAAGCGCCCTACTGACCTCACCACCACAGAACCTCGGCCAGATCCAGTTTGACGTCTGGGACACCGCAGGCCAGGAGAAGTTTGGCGGTCTCCGTGATGGGTACTACATCAACGGCCAGTGCGGTATCATCATGTTCGACGTGACGTCGCGCATCACATACAAGAACGTCCCCAACTGGCACCGTACGTCTGCCCTCATCCTGCGCGCGCGCTAACCAAGCCGACTAACACTACCCATCAGGTGACCTGGTCCGTGTCTGCGAAAACATCCCCATCGTCCTGACCGGCAACAAGGTCGACGTCAAGGAGCGCAAGGTCAAGGCAAAGTCCATCACTTTCCACCGAAAGAAGAACCTCCAGTACTACGACATCTCGGCCAAGTCCAACTACAACTTCGAGAAGCCCTTCCTCTGGCTCGCCAGGAAACTGGTCGGCAACCAGTCTCTCGACTTTGTCGCCGCCCCTGCTCTTGCGCCTCCCGAGGTCCAGGTTGACCAGGCCGTCCTCGACCAGTACCGACAGGAGATGGAGAACGCCGCCCAGATGCCTCTGCCCGACGAGGACGACGCCGACTTGTAGATAGGGTCATGAGCTTGCTCCTGGCCATGGCTGGGACTATAATGGGTACACGAAATCGAATTGGAACATGGGAATGGATGGTTAGGGAACCGCAAAATTTGCAGCTCTAGGAGCTCCAAACATTGCTAGCAAACACGGAGGTGCGACGAGGGGTTCTGCAGAAATGACTACTACATGAAGCGCTGGATTAGCCGGCGTTTCGACGAATGAGTAAACACTAGACTCTTACCACGTCCAGCGCGGATCAAAATTGTCAATGCTGTGTTTTGATCAAAAAAGTTTGGAATTTGGACAATATGCAGGCATGCAAACCCTGTCATGCAAAGTGAACCGGTACGCCAAAGAAAAAAAAAGGCTACACCTACTCCAAGGGTGACCAGTACGAAAACAACGGATCCTGACAGACGAAAAAGAAAAAGAACAAGGACGCGCGCATAGCTCGTCTCTTCATTACCCGAGTCTTTCTTTTCCTTTTTACCACCAAAAAAAACAACAACAAAAGCATTCATGCATGCACTGAGGAGATACGGCACTTGGATGGCACTGACACCGGCTTGGCACTTGCCGCCCTTTTTCCCCTTTGCCCTCGCCATACCTGCTCACGTTGCTTTTTCCCGCCCGTTGCTTGCCTCTCTCCTTTGACCACTCCTCCCCTCCAATCAATTGGCTGCGCATTCCCTGCCCTGTCCGAATATCCTGTCACATTGTCTTCTTGTTCGTTTTTTCTTTTTCCTCTTTCTCATCTCATCTCTTAATTTGCTTTTTTCCTTCTCCCTCTCCCACCGTTTTTCTTTTTCTTTTCCCTTCATGTGTAAATACGTACCCCCTGTTGGTCGCGCTCATTACACACACACACCCTAGTCTTATTTGTTGCAGCCACGTTGTTTTGTATGTTTCTTTTCCTCATCTCATTCTTCCTCTTTCTACATGGAGCTAGGATTGGTTGGTATTCATTAAGACTGACATGACAAAAAACAAAACAGATGGAAAAAAAAGGGGAACGAATAAGAGAGCAGGAGCAACAGCATTCGTGCAAGTGTGTGGCTAGATATATGAAAACTTTGGTATACGTGTCTCGTTGTACAGTGACATGAGAAAAAGGACAAAAATAAAATAAAAATAGAAAATCCAACCAGAAATGGACCCAAGATTGACAAGACTGAGAAACAGGAAATGATCAAATGTCTAAGAGTACAAACAACGCTTGCGTAGAAAATAGACATTGCATCGACGGAGAAAAAGGAGAGAACGAACAAGGGACGGCAGCCATGGGGGCGACACGAGCTCAAGGAGAAATCTATGGCCATATTACACCTTGTGAAAAGCTTCCTGCCATCGCTGTGCTGGCTTTCTGCTTCTCGGTGCGCCGAAACAGCAGACGACGCCTGACAGGAAACGAGTGAGACTATTGAAACACGTTGATGAATGAAATCGTTCCTGCAACGTCGACGCCTAAGACTTGAGCATCCTATGCCATGGTTAGCGACTTGATCGCTACGAGAAACCAAAAAAAAACATTTACTTACGGTGCAATCAATTGTGCGTACTGCTGCTGCGGGACGTGGCCTCCCTCCTCGATCACATTGCGAATGATGTCACTTTGGTCAATGTTGCTCCACAAATGGATGCCCATGGCCTTCTTGCTGTTGAATAGTGTGTGCGCTACACCGCGGACTTGGCCGAGCACGACACTGGCAATCGGCCATGTGTTGGAGTACTGCTGTAATGTGCCCACGTCGAGACGGATAGATTGTTTGATGATATCGTCTTGGCCATCGGGCACGAGGAATGACCAGTACGAGAGATGGACTACCGAAGCCATGACGACGACGCATGTGAAAAAGGGCGTGTGGTAGAGCAGTTGGCCTGGCAGGCGAATCAACGACGAAATATTCTCAGCAGAGGTAAGGCATTTGGCTGTGTGGATTTCCCGCGTCTGCGTCGGGAGCAACACTTGTCCTGGTTGCACGCAAATGTTGACGCCTTCGACTCGTCCGAAACCGAGGTTACTTCGTGGTCGGTGTAGCATGATTGTGCTGCCTGCATTGACCATGTGTGCTTGGAACAGCACCTCGTCAACATGGCCGTCGTTGTTCACAATCTCCATTTTCGACGGGGGAAGGTGCAGCCGCCAGTTGCACAGGTACTGATCAACAACATCGACTGCATGGTATTCAAATGTAGAGTCAAGGCGTGCGCATTCAAAAACTTTGCCCAGGATCCGAATGGCATCAATGAGGTACGTGAAGGAGCTAAAAGTGGCCAAAGATGGAAGGAAGGCCGAGTCGTCATAGTCTTGCAGAGTAGATGGGTAGGGGATTTGCTGCTCAATTTGTTAGCCACTTTCCGTCGTACGCATACGCAGTGGGGTAGGTCTAAAAGGGCATAGTTGCCATGGAAGAAGATCGTGGACCATCAGGTGAGCGGCGCAGCAGCCCGTAACTCAGGCAGGAAACTATGCCAAGCCGATTTGACAGATGTCAAACCAGACTGCAGGGGTCTGGACTTACGCCTGAAAAGTACTGGCAGTTCTCACACGGGAGTGGAACGTCTGTCGCCACGTCTTTTAGTCTAAATTGCACGCCTGGGTTGACGGCTGTCATCATGCCGTTGGCTGTGAACATGGACCACCACGTCCTCCGCCAACTCTCTTCGAGCTGTGCATTGTTCCCTCCGTGCATCATGGCATACTCGATGCGGTTGAGGCCAATTTCCAGCGTCAGATCCTGGGCCATAGTAAAGACTTGGGCGGCTCGCGGGACCTCGTTGTGCGCATGGAGCCCAATGGCAAAAAGCAGCAGTGCCTGCACCGTCCACCCGTCTCTTGAGTAGTTTCCGCTGTTGATATGGCGGTCCAGTGCCTCCTTGTACATGGCAGTGGGCACGGCGGGCAAGAAACTCGATCCAATAAACTGCACGGCAACTTCTAGGAGCGGGGCGCGTCGGTTCTTGAAGACGTCCAGCAGCGCCATTTCTGGCAAGCAAAAGGGATGCGAATTGTAAAAGTAGTGGTAGAATGCCTGGACGGCCGTTTCGGGCCCATGGTGGCCGAAGCGGTTCAAGCGTGCGGTTCCATTCAGGTTGAGTTGGGCGACTGGCGAAGCGACTGGGCGCACACCGAGGCCGTGGGCCGGGCTAAGCTGGTTCACAGCCGACGCGTCGCTGTTGTACGAATAGTCAGGCGACGAGATGTGCCCGTTGCTGACAGACACCTCAGCCGCAGAGAGGCCTAGATATGTTAGAGCCGAGAGACAGGCGGCCACGGCAACGAAGCGCAGGCAAAGATGAAAAAGCACTCACTGTGGACGGCGGGCGGGGCGGCGTTGGCGTCGTCTTTGTTCTTGCGCTTGCCCTTCCAACCTCGCCGCGACTTGATGTAAGTGCACTCGACGTTGTCGGTCTTACATCGGGAACACCGGACTCCACCATCGCACTTGAGATGCCTGCTGCGGCACTGCACACAGGCGACGGCGACTGAGGCTCTGGCCTGGTCGCCGGCGGGCGGCTTTTGCGCGCTCTTCTGGGCGGCCTGGGAGCTGGCCCTGCTGCCATTGGAGGACTGGGGCGTGTGGGCGGGCGGCGTGCTGCCATTGACGCTGCTGCTGTGGGTAGCGACGCTGGTCGTGGGCGACAGATGGAGCCCCAGCGAGGGTGAGAAGGACGCTGTGGAGTCGGACGAGGAGAAGTCGTGGTGGCTGCCCCAGAAAGCGGGATCTACGCCAGCCGAAAGGGACGAAGGCTGGCCCGCCATCGGGTGGCCGGACATGGGCATAGGGGAGGGAGGCATGAGCGGGCGTCTGCGGGCGCGCGTCTCTCGATTCGCGACAGTCTAGCAAGCCTCTCTGGTCGGCGACGTGTCAGACGTCGCGGCTGTGCGTATGCGTATGTATGTCTGGAGAGACTTGGAGGTTCACGGGTGCAGGCTGCTAGTACAGTACTGTCGACGGCGGGCACGTGACCTGCTTGGCTAGTGCTAGCGCCGACGTGCGCGCCCCGCTACACACCCGCGAACCGTTGGCCAACCCAATCAATCCCTCCGCCGCCCTCGACGAGCGCAAGGGGGGGCAATCCAAGCAGCACCAGCCTCTGCTCGTCCCACCCGCGCCCGCACGCCCGCTGCCAGCTGCTTGTCGTCGTCGTCTGCTTGTTGCTTTTTCCATCTCTTCTTTGTCCCCCCTCACTCACAAGCCCGCCCGGCCGAGCACCCCGCTTCCTTCTCGAGTCGCTGCAATATCACCACCCTCGGTCTTCTTTCGCGGACGTACGCGGACGCCCAGGCTGTCACGGGCTGCTTGCAACCGCTGTTGAAACGCTATCGGGACTGTGCCCCTGGACTGCCTGCCCCCCCC